AAAAAAAAAAAAAAAAAAAAAAAAAAAAAATCGAGGCAGAGTTTAAAAACAACGACAAAAACATATATATGTGTGCACACATATAGACTGATAGATTTAATCTGGTCAAAGAAAACCAAATGAATCCCATTTGGTGACAGTTTGGGGAGGAAAATGAAATCCCTCTGCTCAAAAAGGGCATCTCCTATTTTCTGACCTATGGGTCATGCAGTTTTAATTTCCTCTCTCTCTCTCTCTCTCTCTCTCTTTGTTTTTAAATTTCATGAACCTGCTTAAGGCCACAAAGACTCTCCCGAATCCTTCAGCTGTCTGGCAGATGAATGGCTGCCAGCTTCGCTCAGGTTACTAATGGTCTGTGCCAGGCTGAAGGTCCCCAACTCTGCCTGAACGCGCCTTCCAAGACTTCCAATCTGTTGCTGGACGACACGGAGGTGCTCTAAGTGGCTTCTGAGTAAGGCGGCTGCAGAGGAGAGCTGACCCAGAGCTGCTCTGGTCCCTGGAAGGGTGGCTCCTTGAGAGTGTGTCTGGTGCCACGGGCTCTGGTTTGTGTGAGCTGGGGCTGGCCAGGGCCCAGAGATGTAAGGGAGAGCTGTGCTACGAGCAAGGTTCAGAAAGGGGAAAGACTTTCTCCCTTCGGCCAGCTTCCAAGCAAAATGGGGTTAGAGCCCCTGTAAATGGCAGAGCTGCTTCTCACCTCCGGACCCAGGTGGGAGAACAATGGCATGATGACCTGCCATTCACTAGTTGGATGGCTTTACAATGGGGGTGGAGAGGTGGCGTGCCCATGTCTGTGCTTGTGGGAGTCGAGGGGGTGGGACATGGCTTGTTGCAGCTTCCATGGTGCACGTCTTCCTTTCCAGGGAAGAAGGGGGCACGGAGGGGGCCTGGTCCTCAGAGATGGCTGTCTCCTGTGGCCAGATAAAGCACCGCTCCCTCTCTAGCCAACTCCCTCTCTTGCATCTGTTCTGTTCATTTGCCAGTTATCACAGGAGAGCTATGGGCAGGCATGAAGCTAGTGCTGTGGAGAAAGAGATGAGGACAATGGATCTCTATCCTGTTAGTGTAGGAACAGAGGAACTGAATGGGATGGGAAAGAAGAGAGGGAAAAGGTTAACTGCTAAACCCAAATATCTAAAAGACCTGGAGGATCTGCAGGAAATTGGGACTGTGTAATAATGTCAGGCATTTTGAGCCCTGCCAAAAATGCATTTTTTTTTTTTTTTTTTTTTTTTTCGTACGCGGGGAAAGGCGTTCAACCCTCTAGGGCTGATGAGGCTGATGTCTTTGTTCCAGACAACAAGAGTTTACCCAGAACCTTTCCATTGAGGTAAACAGGAAAATCAGACCCTTTCTCAAAACACTGGACAAAAAAAAAAAAAAAAAAAACCCCCCAAATATATATTTTTTTTTTTTTTTTTTTTTTTTTGTTTCCAAAAATGCTTTGACTCGATCTTGCTTGTCCTGATTCCTGCCCCAGGAAGTTTCTCCTCCCTGGAATCCCCTCTTCAGGTAGGCACGTAGATGGAGCAGCTCATGGTAAAGAATAACAGGTTTGAGAGGACGCAGGCAAGCAAGAGAGAGAAGGCCTGCAGCCAGGATCTGCTCCATCCCCGAACAAAGTTCCTGTTGACCTCAGAACACTGGCAAGAGGCCTGTGGGGAGGTCTTCCTCAGGGATAAAAGTCGGGCTAGAGCTGGCACTAACAGCACAATGTCTAGAAGGAAGGGGTACTTTAGAAAAAAGGAGAGGCAGAAAAAAAAAAAAAAGAAAAAAGGAGAGGCAGGCTGTACTGTAATTCTGCAAAGATGGAAGGGTTGTGGGCTTTCCTAAGTGCATACGTGTGTGTGTGTGTGTGTGTGTGTGTGTGTACACCTGCTTGCCCGGGGCAGGGCTTACCCATCATCTAAGGATGTTTCTGCTCTATGGATGTGAGAAGCTACCCCAGGCCCCAGTTGCTGGACCGTCTCAAGGACAAGAGTACAGAGGCAAAAGGCAGTGTAAGAAAAAGCTGTCTGGGGGATCACACCAGCCTTGCCTGCTGCATCCTTGCTCCCTCCCAGGCTGGCAGGGCCCAGATACTCTCCAATCTATAAAGCCTGCAGCAGGGCAGAAGGTGTGCTGCCTCAGTGTTCAGTGCTCAAGGGCTGCTGAAACCTTAGGGACACCAAGGCTGTCCCTTCCCCTGGAGAAGGTGTCCTTCTGGGAGCCACCTATACAATACAGTTGTGTAACCACAGCATGTTTGTACGCATTAGTCCATGTAGGAGGAGTCGGTTCCCTGGGAACCCCCCTCTGCACTGGGTTTCCCAATATCAGAAGCTTCCAAAATGGATGGCAATCAGAGTACTGACTAAAGAAACAAATGGTTAAAACACACCCCCTCTCCCACCAGAGAAGCTCCATACCCACAGGAGCCATTCATGACCAAGCCAGGCTAGGAGTGTGAGGCCACCTTTACCTGTTCCGGATCCCACCACGTCCCGGCTCGGTGACTCGGCCATGGCATCGGCCAGCCGCTCCCGCAGGCCCTCCTCCGTGTGCTCCATGGAGGCCATGTGCCGTAGCCCGAAGCCCTCCGGCCAGCTCCCACACACCTCCAGCAGGGTCACGCTCCGGTCGAAGGTACCTGCAGCGCACAGGGGACATCTGACGCTGAGTCACCTTGCAGAGAGCGGGCCGTTCTCTATGTCTGCTCACCGCCAACTCCCCACCCTGCCCAGGGTCCATTTTAGCCCTTCCACAGGACGGATGAAGGAGGGAACACCACGAAACACGGATGTGCAGGGCAGAACGAGACCGCTCATGCCACCAGATCAGAGCGAGTAGACCTCCACGGCGTTGGGCTAGTGGTTTTTGAACTGTTTTCTTTTTCTGTTATTGTTGCATGGCTTGTAGGATCCTTGTTCCCCCACCAGGGATCGAAACCGGGCCCTCAGCAGTGAAAGCACAGAGTCCTAACCACTGGGCCGCCAGGGAACTCCCCCGAACTGTTTTCTGAGGACCTACAGGGTTCTCTGAAGTCTTCAGGGACTGCTTCAAGATCTAGGTCAAGGGTAGGAAACTTCTTTCCCAGGTTCAAGCAAACTGCCCTCCCCACTTCTCTCTGTTTGAGGCAATAGGGCTTCGCCTAAAGATTTTTTTTTTTTTTTTTTCGTGCGGTACGCGGGCCTCTCACTGTTGTGGCCTCTCCCGTTGCGGAGCACAGGCTCCGGACGCGCAGGCTCAGCGGCCATGGCCCCCCGGG